AGAAACCACCAAACTGTTTTCCAGGATGGCTTTACCATTTTTCGATCCCAACAGCCCTGTACCAGTGATCCAGTTTCCCTGCATTTTCACCAGCATTTGCTGTCACAGTTTAAAATTTTATTCTAGCCATTCTGATAGGAGTGTAGTGATAACTCATTCTGGTTTTAATTTGTGTTTCCCTAATGGATAACAATGCTGACATCTTATCGGCGTGTTTGCCTTCTGCATATCCCCCTCGTTGAAAAATGTCTCATCTTGTGTATTTTGTCTATTTTCTAGTTAGACTGTGTGTTTTTGTTTGTTTTTAGGGTTTTTGTCATACAGCACATGCACTTGGGAGGGAGGAAAATTGAGAAACCCCACCCCACTCCCAAGGGAGATAGCCATGCTGCGATCCCTCCTCTTCCATTCTCCTCTTGGGATTTTAGGCATGCACACACACACATGCCTGGCATGATTATCAAGCTGCTGAATCCGAGATGGTTGGCCATGTGGGAGTCCATCACCTTAACCACCACACCACCTATTGGCCCAAATTGGACTTTTAGTTTTATTTTTAGAGATATTTTTGCTACAGGGTGTGAGTGCTCGCTGGAGAGAGAGAGAGGCAGAAACCAAGAAATCATCCCTCCTCCCTGGGGGGTGGGGGGAATGGCCATAGCGCAATCCCATCTCTTTCATTCTCCTCTCAGGATTTTGGGCATGTACACACATGCACCGGCATGAGTTTTAAGCCACCAGGTCTGGGGCTGAAACAGCGGTTAACTATGTGGGAGTCCAATGATGCAACCATTATGCCATCTGCTTATCCCTAGGACTGTTTTTTAATGATGAAATTTGTGTTATTTTTATGTTCTAGATACCAGACCTCTGTTAGTGTGTTCTGCAAGTATTTTATTCCTTTCTGTAACTTGTCTCTTCATCCTCTTTTCCAGAGCAAAATTTTGATTTTGATGGAGTCCAGTATAGCACCTCAGGGCTGACATCTATTGACGGCTTTTTCATTCAGTGTGAAATCTTCCAGGTTCGGTTCTTGGTATGACAAGTGATTTTTTTTTTAATTGAAATTCAGCCTTGTCTACCTTACATTATGAGACAGAGTCTTATTCAAGTCTTCTGTTTTGTTTTATTATTATTATTATTTTTAAGGGTTTTGCCATAGGATGCGTGTGGTCGCTGAAGAAAGACAGAGAGAGGTAGAGACAGGAAAAGTGAGAAATCATCCCCTGGGGAGATGGCCATGCCAAAATCCCTTCTCCTTCATTCTCCTCCTGGCATTTTGGGCACGCACGTACATGTGTCTGGTGTGATTTTTCAAGCTTCTAGGTCTGGGACTCGAATGTGGGAATCCAGAGCCTTAGCCACCATGCCACCTGCTGGCCCCCAAATCTTGTTTTAACTGGCTTTTGTGATCTCACTCTGGCAGGGGAGAGGGGCGGGGCACAGTTACAACTGCTAGGTGGAAGTGAAAGTCTGGGTTTCTTACTTGACTACCCTGGATGCCCCAAGGGGCGCTTACTGCCACTGTGTGTGGACCTGCAGACCCCATGAGGTCCCCACAGGCACTGCAGTTGGCCTCCTTACCCTGTCAGGCTCTCCCGACTCCACCTACATGGGGATACCTCAATATTGCCAAGTGGGGGTGCAGCTCCAGGTCCTCGTAGTCTCAAAAGTAACAAGAGGTGTGGGGAAGGAGCCTTCTTACCATCTGGTAGGAATGAAAGTCGCAGCTTCCTACTTGGCCTTTGTTTATTTATTTTTTACTTTCTTTAAAATTTTAAATGATAAAGAGTGTATGAGTCTGCTTATGACAAAAAAAGAGAGAAGCACCCTCGACAGTCTTGTCACTCTGAGGAACCTCAGCCTGCAGTTTCCTCGGGTTCCTAGACATGCTTGCATGTGCCCAGGGTGTCTTCGGGTCTATACAGGGATCCAAACCCATGCTAGGCCATGTGGCTTCCAGCACTCCAGGGTACTGCATTACTGTGTCACAGCAACTGATTCCCCCCCAGGCCTTCGTCACAGTGCCTTGGTCGGGGTTAGGGAGCCTCCTTCCAGTCTGGCTTTGCTGGGAGGGTGGGTTTGGGTCTACAGTGCAGTAGAACAGTTTTGGCTAAGAGTTTTCTTTTCTTTTCTTTTTTTAAAGAGGTCTTTTATTTTAACTTTATTTATTTATTATTATTATTTTCAAATTTGACCAGAGAGAGAGAGAAGGAAAGTGAGAAAGGAAGCCACTAGGTCTGGGACCTGAACCATGGTTGGCTGTGTGGGAGTCCAGCACTGTTAATCACCATGCCACCTGCTGGCCCTGGCTAAGATAGCTTTCTATCATCCGAGGATGTTCTTTTCCTGGTCCTTGGCCTGGAGAGCGCAGGTTTTAACTGGTGCTTTTTTTGTCTGTATCACTTGGCATTTCTGGGTATCCACTTCTTTGGAGCCAAGTCTGAGATACAGGAGATAAAATGAAAATGCATTCACCACCATGTCATTCCTTAGGCCTGAGGACCCTAGCTGCTCTGCCTCCTTCCCCCCATCTTTCAAAGCTTTCCTATGTTTGTTTTATGCATAATGTCTAGGGCTGTAGTTGTACTTAGCAGCAGAAATATAGAAAAGAACATCTATTCCATTTTCCCAGAGGCAGAAGACTAGGCCTGCATTAAAAAAAAAAAAACAAAAATTGCCAGAGGGTGTGTGCACTTGCTAGAAAAAGACAGAAATAAAAAGTGACAAAGCCCACCCCACGGAACATAGTCACCAAGTAATTCCTTCTCCTCCATTTTTCTTCCTTTGAGGATTTTGGGCATGCACTCATATGGCCTAGCATGTGTTTTGTTTTGTTTTGGGTTTTGTTGTTGCTGTTTGTTTGTTTGTTTTGTAGTTGTTGCTATTTGTTTGTTTGTCTTTTCCAAGCCACAGGGTCCAGGACTCAAACCACTTTCGGCCATATGAGATCCAGCTCCCTTAACTACCATGCACGGACTGGCCCCTAGGTCTGTATTTTTATCAAAACCTTTTCATGACTTCAAGTACAGCTTACCTCTCCATTTTACAGCTGCAGAGAGATGACGTGCCTTTTCCATGATCACATAGTAATGTCTCTGACATTCCCAGACCAAGCTAGCACCCTGTCTTCGAACTCCCAGGGCCAAATGGCACCTGCACCAGGACCCCTGTCCAGGGCAAGGTCCATAAATCTCCACAGAGAGCTTTTCAGCACAAGGAAGGACTGGATCAGCGTGCTCCACTGAGGCTGGGCTCCTGGGTCCAGTGGCATGCACTGTCTGACCAACTCCCACCCCGACTCCTCCTGCAGGGTAGGGGAGGAAGATGAGGGCCACATGGAAGGAGGACCTCTTCTAAGCCCCTTGGGACCCTGTCAGAAGTGATGGGACCAAAGAAAAGGGTAGGGTGAGGGGCCCAGAAAAGATGATAAAGGAGAGAGGAAAAAGGATCCTACACTGCAATCTTCCAGAAACAGATGCCTACTGGCTGAATAACAGGGAGCTCTTGTTGAACAGACTCTTACGTCCCCCATCCAGGGCCTTCGACCCTTCCTGGGTCTCTGTCTCTAAGTCTACTATGGCTGTGTAGAGTAAAGGGAATCTTCCTATCAGAAACCCAGAACAACTCCTGGCCAACCAGGTGGCTGGGACAAAGGCCTCTCTAGGACACCTACTGCAGCAGGACAAGGTAAAAGTGCTATATGGGGAGAAGGGGCAGATGAGAGACCTGGGTTCAAGTCCAGTGTAGTGGAGCCATTATATCTCTAGCCTCAGTTTCCTCATCTGCAAATGGCATGTGGATGCTAGGATTGGTTTTCATAAGGGGAAGTTGAGACTGAAGAAGGATATGTCACCAATTTTGTGGCAGAGCAAAAACGAGAGCCCAGGTCTCCTGTCCCCTTCCCCACTCAGAGCTCTTACTATGGTCTCATACTTAAGAAACCATCACACAAACAGACTGATCCAGTCATGTGAGAGAACCATCCAGGGCAGGAGTCCCCCTGCACCACCAAAGAGCAAAGCCCTGCAGCCTAAGAACAATCCAGAACTGTGGCCACTGAGCACCTTCCCTCAGGACAGAGTGGAGAAGGGCTGGCTTAATCAGCAATGAAACTAAAACTGGACCCCAGCAAGTGAGCCCAGGTGTGGCTTTGACAGCAGCAGCAGATCAGAGGCACCCTCTTCTTTCTGGACAGGCATAGTCTGCGGCTAGACTGGGGCTTGGGGATAAATATTTTCCCTAGCCTCTAATTCCGTGGTCTCCCAGAGGCTGGGAGGAGGTATCAGCTGGACAACCAGAGCCAGTGTGACTGAAGCCAAGTCAGATGGTCAAATGGAGGGTTTCAGGGGTCACCAGAATGGCTTCCAAAGAGCAGCCTTTCCCCCAGGCCACACATCCCACATGGGAGCCCACCCCTCTCCCGACCAGGATCCCAGATAAGAAACTAAGTAGTGGGTAGAGAAGCTGCAGCAATAGTCCCAGGAGAAATGGTTGGCCAAAGAGAGGTAGACAGCTCTCTCAGCTTCCACCAACTGCCCATCCCAGGCCCTCTGCAGAACTGGAGCAAAAGCCTCTAAAGCACCCCACAATATCCTGTGAATCCCATTGCTTACAGGGCCATCTATGCCAATGCATGAACCTCCAGTTTGGTCATCTGATTACCGTGTAAGATTCCACTGTAGGATGGATCATGGACTAGTTCTTCAGTCTCCTTTCAGCAGACATTAAGGTTGCTTCTAGATATTTGTTATCACAAGTAATGCTACTACTGAGAGAAATTTTATGAACTGACGCATTAGGAGGAAGGGACGCTTCCCAAGGGCTGGGAATTACAGGAGGGTTTTCAGAAGAACAGACAGCAACTTCCCCCACCCCCATCCCATCCTCTGCTCTCTCCACGTGTCACCACCTCTTGGGGAGCCATCATGGGCCAGCCCAGGAAGGCAAGCAAATAAGACACATGACACCCCCGGATAAAGCACAGAGAGGTTCCCTACCTGCTGCGGGGGTCCTCGCCCTCGGGAGAAGGAATAGCTGCGATCCAGCTGCTCGCTGCAGTCCGCTGTCCACTGTGGGGTAGAAGGGAGTGAGTGGTCAGTGAGGCAGGCAGACACGCTTTTCCCTTCCCTCCCCCCCCCCCCCCCCACATATTCCTCTCCAGCCACTTCCAATGGTAAAGCCTTCCCTCCACCAGGTCCCAGCTGGCGTCTCCACACTCCTCACAGAGCGACCCTTTAGTGGATTCTTGGGGAAGGCAACCTCATTTCCTGTCATCATGATCTAGATCCAGCCACGTTCCAAAGTCAGCTAGACATGACACCGGCTTATTCCGAGTTTCAGATGTTTGACCATCTGACCTGGCTTCAGCCACACTGGTTCTCTGCTGCATCAGGGGTGTGGCCAGAGCTGGAGGTGAGACATGGCTATGTGGTTCCACCTATATACCCGGTCCTAAAGGCAACTGCTATCAGAAACTCAGCTTGAGCCCAGTTCCAACTCTCACCCTGACAGCTCAGGGGACTGCTGTATACCCAAGTGTGATGTGACAATCACCTGTGTGAGAGTCCCCAGAGTCCCCCATATGGAGGTTCCTGGCCACATCCTCTACTCACTGAATCAGACTCTGGGAAGCTGGGGCCCGAAGATCAGCATTTTTTTTTTTTTTTGGAGAGGTTTTCACTATAGGGCGCGTGCGCTCACCAGACAGACAGAGAGAGACATAGAGACAGAAAGCGAGAAATCACCCCCCAGGGGGGATGGTCACTCTGCAATCCCTTCTCCTCCATTCTCCTCTTGGGATCTTGGGCACGCACGCACATGCGCCCGGCGTGAGTTTTAAGCCACCGGGTCCGGGACCCGAACTGCGGTCAACTACATGGGAGTCCAGCAATATAGCCATTATGCTAACTGCTGGTTCCCCAAGATCAGCATTTTGACAAACTACCCAAGAGATGCAACTGTAGTTTGAGAGCCACTTAAATCCATGCGATCTCTCAGGCTTTGTTGATCATCTGTAAGGGGACAGGAGTGCCGGGCAATTCTGCAAGGTGGATATGGAGGACCATAAAAGTTACGAACACACTGTGTGTCCAGAGCTATCAAGCTACAGGGCGGCATTTTTATTATTGTGTTCAATGTCCATTACTCTCTTGGGGTAAGTTCTTCAACTTTGACCCTAACTTACACTCTGTGTGATACATGAAAAGCACAGGGAGCCGAGTCTGCTTGTTTGACACACCTGTTCACAACTGTGAGTGAGTGTGCATAGCCTCAGACCAGTGCAGTCCTGGTTTTCTAAAACCCTGGCTGGACATGCCCTCCCGTCAGTGGGTCAGGGCACCCCCTCGGTTCATGAGACGTACATAGTTACAGTGCTGATGACAGCAGCCAGGTGCACGTATACACCAGAGCAGCACCGTCCACCTGAAATCATGAAATAAGAGTTGCAAATATGAGCCACGGGCGCCATGTTAAATTTTCTAGTAGCCTGATTTCTTTTGTGCTTAATAGATTTTTGCTCTATGGCACATGGCAGAGAGACCGAGAGGGGGAAAGTGAGAAATCCCCCCTTAGGGGGGATGGCCACACTGCAATTGCTTCTCCATTTCCCTCTGGGATTTCAGACATGTATGCACATAAACCCCATGTGAGTTTCAAGTTGCCGGGTCTGGGATTCAGACTGGGGTTGATCATGTGGGAGTCCAGCACTTTAACTACCACACCACCTGCTGGCCCCATCTAGTAGCCAGATTAAAAAAAAAGGCAAGGGGGCTGGCAGGTGGTGTGGTGGTTATGGTATTGGACTTCTACCTGGCTGACTGTGGTTCAAGTTCTAGACCTAGTGGCTTGTTTTCTTGCTTTCCCTCTCTCTCTCTCATCAAATTAAAATAATAATAATAAAAAATAAAATTAAATAAATAATTCTTTAAAAAAGCAAAATTAAATGAAAACATATATTTTACTTCATGCAACATCTTTTTCTCTGTCACTCTGGCAAACAGCACATGCCCTATGGTAAACAACAAAAGAAAACCTAAAAGAAAATATAATCTTAAAAAAAAAAATCCAAGATATTCCCAGTTTAATAAGTAATCAACATAGGGTCAGTTCTGTGGCCAAGTGGTCACGACAGCTGGATCCCACAAGGCTGACCACAGTCTGAGTCCAGGACCCAGCAGCTTGAGAAACACGTGGCTGTGCTCCATGGGGAGTGTTTTCCTCTCTGTTCCTGTCTCTCCAGTGTGTATGTGCACTCTCTGACAAAACTGAAATCAATCAATATAAAAGTATTAATGAGATATTTTACATGATTTTTTTCCACCCTAAATTCCCAAAATCTACTTAGAACACACCTGGTTTAGATAAGCCAAATCTCAAGAACTTAAGAGGCACCCACAGCCAATGGCTCCTGTACTGGACAGCACAGATCGAGAAAAATGTCAAAGGTATCAGGTCCACTTGTGTCCCTACCTGCTCCATCCTGACCTGCAGTGGAGGAGCTGACCCCTGCTGACTGAGTCTAGGCTCCTGTGTCAGCTGCTTCCTGGCTGGGCTTGGCCAGACAGGAAACAGGGAGAAACCAGGATGTTTCTCCTTTCTCTCTCTGTCTCTCTGCCTCAGGTGGCATTTCTAGCGGTGATGTTTGCCAACCAGATGTCTGTTTCCTGGCTCTAGCCCTTACCAGGCTGGCTTCTGCTCTTGACCTTGACCCCTGGCTCTGGCAACACCATCTCTTCAGGTCAAGGGTGGTAATAGTGATCTGTGGTTGCTAACCTCTGGGTTGTTTATTTGGCTGCTCATCTCTTTTATCACCTCGCAACCAATTCTCTGGATTAAATGTCTTCTGTTTATATAACTGTAGTCTCAAAGCAGCTCCCCTATGATATTTATTAATTTTGAGGGATGAGGGAGTGTGGGATGAGAAATGCATCAGATACCACTTAACCAAGTGAGCAAAGTTAATATCACCAGTAATGAACCCTACCAACATCATAGGCTCCCTTATATGACGTACTGAGAAGGGCCTGTCACCTTCGAAGTGTTCTTGCCCCAAATGCACATTCTCAATATAACCGTGAGAAAACAAGAGACACTAATTGATAAACTTTCTACAAAATTAATGACCAGCACTTTTCAAGACTGTCAAGGTTGTGAAAGAAAAGACAAAAAAAGTATCACAGATTGGAGAAGAACAAGGAGACATGATGATGAGATGCGTATTTGGATCTTAGAATAGGACAAGAACCTCTCTGATCAAATACCAATACATCTCTCTGCCCAATGTCAATTTCTCAGTTCTAATCACTGTACAATGGTTATGTAAGATGTTCCTACTAGGGGAAGTTGAGTGACAGACATTCACTCTGTACTATTTTTGTACTTTGGCTATAAGTCTAAAATAATTTCAAAACAAAAAGTAAGATAAACAGATACATACGTACGTACAACATGTATACAACACATTTAAAAATAACATGTACATAATGCATGTGTGTGTGTATGTATGTGTGTGTGTGTGTGTGTGTGTGTGTGTGTGTGTGTGTGTGTGTACTATGTTTAAGGTTCTGAAAAACAATCCCTCTGCTTTGGAGGGATTGGAGTGCGACCTCCTTTTCTGCTTGAAGCCTGACTGACAAGGTGGGGACAGCAAGGCACACAACTCTGCATGCGTCTTGTCCCATTCTAGAATGACTTCTCAGAAAAAGCCTTCTGCCCTTCAAGGCAGCCCAAATGCTTCTGCCCCAGCTGCATGCTACTGCTGAGAAATCACGTGACCGAAGGCCTGTGGGTGGGCACAACTCCTCCTGGGCTCAGCATGGTCTCTGGCAAGGCGGGGCTGGGCACACAGATGGCTCCTTCTGACTGGCATGCAGAGAGCATGCCAAGGCTTCGGGCACGTCCTTGCGTAGCCATACTTGTCTTGAGAGACTTGGAGCAGTTCCAAGCTCCAATGCAACTGCTCTACTTGTCAAAAGTCATCCTTAACATTACATTTGCCAACCAGAAGCCATTTCTGGAGTGCCCTCCCTGTGGGACCCACACAAAGAGTGTCATCTCACCTCAAATAGCAGCAAGGCAAGGAGAAGCGCAGGCGGAGAGGCTGAGACGGGGGAGTGTGCTCTCACAGGGGCTGTGAGGGAAGTGAAGTGGGCAGCCAGCCTTCCTAGAGAAGACCAAGCCCCTCTGTAGGCAGGGATGGAAGACTTCTTTTAGGGCAGAGCCTCATCGGAGTTGAGTTAGGGAAGGCCGAATGGCCTAGGGGGAGGCAGGTCGCATTTGGGGCTCATTAGTGGAGTGGTAGAGCAGAAATGAAGAAATGGGTATAAGGGCATGGAACAATGTGTGTGAGTGGCAAGCCAAGGGGGTGATCTGCACATAGGTAAGCAAGAAAGAGCATGATGAAGTCCAAGACGATGGTGATGATGATGAAACCCACTCCAGAGACCGCCAAGGCTGGACACAGGCAGGGCCCCCAGGCAAAATGGAATGAAGAGAGACGGCGGTTGTGCCCTCTTCCTGGCACCCAAGGAGGATTTAGTGTGAACTGTCACTCTTACCATAGAAGCTCTACCCTAGGGACTTGTGAGACTCCCACTTCAAATCCCAGCCAGGTGGCAGCCCCGGGGCCATCCCATCTCGCCATCAGGGTGTTTCCTCCTAGGTTCTAAAAGCCCTCCATAGGCTCTCCCTTCCCTATTCCACATCCCGTTTCTGCTGGATTCTACTCCATGCTGTCTTCTTTCGCTGTGAATACGGCCTCCTGTCTCCCTTTGCCTTCTCTTACCTTTTGCCTAGAAAGTCTCTAGACCTGTTCTGGCCTGTATGAGATGATTCTAGAATGGAGAAGAGTCCCACTTCCTCAAACACTCCCCCTCAACCCTGGCTGGGGTCTGAATTCCACTTGCAGAGAACTTTTGTCCTTCAAGGAAAACAGGCTTCCAGCTTTGGGCCTAATTAACACACGAGTCCTCTCCTAGCGTAAGATGGTGTTTTACCTGAAAAGGTCACTAAACATAAAAAGAAAGGAAAGAGAAAGTCTTATCTATGAGGAGACTTGGAAAGTTTGTGA